TTTTCTAAAGGAATGCAAATCACCCTTTTTCCCAATGATATCTGAGGGGATTTTCCCAGGAATGATATTGGGGAAGACCAAGTTTTCTTCCCCACTCCTTCTCATCACATCCATGCTGTCCTCACAAGAATTATTTCTTCTGTAGAAGATAACTGTAGCTACAATGGTAAGTGGTATGAAGCATCATGGGTGGAAAAAATCGACCCCATCTACATTGCCGTATAATACAGTCTCATAATGCAGTTTAACGACATTGAACTGCATTATATGAGTCTACACTGCCATATTATGCCATTCAATGCAGCTGAACTGTATTTATGAAGCAGGTTAGATGGGGCCTGAGATGGAGAGAGGGAGGGAAGGAAGGAGCCAGCAGTGGGCTGTGCTTTCGTGCAATGTGCATATGTTTGAAGGAAACGATGGGTCAGAAGAAATAAGGGTGATGGCACTGAATGGAAAGACAGTAGAAGAGAAACAATAAAAGAGAGAAGGAATGCACAAAATTAGAGAAATTGGAAAAAGAGAGACAAAGAGACAGACAAAAAAAAGATAGATTGAACAGACTTGAAGGATAGGAAGTATCCAAGGTAGAGATATGAAGGAGACTTGAAGGAGAGGAAGCATTAGGGTCAATAAATAGAGGAAAATAAATAGCCAAATCTTTGTATGAAAACTCTCATTTAGCAAATCACAAGTTCATGTGATATTGTGCTTACTTAATTTAAATATCAAGTGTTTTATTAAATGCAATGGCCACAAGATGGATACAGGAATTCTTGTTTATTTCATATATAGATTATTATTGTATGATATTTAGAAACAAACTAATTTAAATTAATTTGTAGGTGATGTATTTAGAAAGGTTATGCTAGCGAGCTCTAATACTGCTAGAGAGCCATCCCCAAGTACTGAAACCTTTACCCTTCCAATAATTATTTTTATATTCGTATGTGTTTTATTTTATTGTATTTTATATTGTGCTTCATTTTTATGTTTGTTTTTAGGCACCTTATGGCATCTGTAAGCTTCCCCGAGTCCCTTCAGGGAGATGATGGCAGGATATAAAAATAAAGTAGTTATTATTATTATTATTATTATTATTATTATTATTATTATATTACTAGAATGCTTTTGTAGAGAAATATAGCTATCTTACCCAACTACATATCCCACGACTGGATGTTATGGGGAGAAGGGTGGGATAGAAGTGTACGAAATAAATAAAATGCTGTATCTGAAGTACATATACATTCCAAGTGTGACAGGCAACAGAAGGAAATGGAAAACTACCTCTTTAGGCCTTTATATTGCTTACTATTTCCACATTATAAAGGCTCAAAGCAGTGTTTCTTAACCTGGGGGTCGGGACCCTTGGGGGGACCACGAGGGGGTGTCAGAGATGTCACCAAAGACCATCAGAAAACACAGTATCTTCTGCCAGTCATGGGGCTTCTGTGTGGGAAGTTTGGCCCAATTCTATCTTTGGTGGGGTTCAGATTGCTTTTTGATTGTAGGTGAAATATAAATCCCAGCAACTACAACTCCTAAATATCAAGGTCTATTTTCTCCAAACTCCACCAGTGTGGACATATTGAGTATCTGTGCCAAGTTTGATCCAGATCCATCCTGGTCTGAGTCCACAGTGCTCTATGGATGTAGGTGAACTACAACTCCAAAACTCAAGGTCCTTTCCAGTATTTTCTCTTGGTCATGGGAGTTTTGTGTGCTAAGTTTGGTTCAATTCCATCATTGGTGGAATACAGAATGCTCTTTGATTGTAGGTGAACTTTACATCCCAGCAACTACAACTCTCAAATGACAAAATCAATTCCCTCCCAACCCCACCAGTATTTAAATTTGGGCGTATTGGGTATTTGTGCCAAATTTGATCCAGTGAATGGAAATACACCCCAGATATTTGCATGACGATTTGTAACAGTAGCAAAATTACAGTTATGAAGTAGCAACAAAAAATAATGTTATGTTTGGGGGTCACCACAACATGAGGAACCATATGAAGGGGTTGTGGCATTAGGAAGCGTGAAAAACAGTTGCTTAAAGAGTCCATATACCCTTGTGCTGTGAGCCATATTCCACTCTTCCCACTCCTGCCAACAAGTTGTGCAGAGATTTGGTTTCTGTTGTGGTAGCTACAGATCCAGTGAAACATTTTGCTATTATCTTTTTTAAAAAACCAATTGCAGCTTGCTGAAGGTGTTTAGACAACTTTATCTGACAAGTGCTGACATATTCCTTTTATTTCAGGAATCCTGCTCTGATATTGTTTCCCACTATGCTTTTGATAGGGCTGCTGAAAGTAACGGGGTTTCTTCCAGGCTGCTACTGTAATTACCTGGTATGATGATAAATTACTCAGCCCCCTTCCCACAATGTCTAGTGCAAGATATGTTTGAATGTTTGGTATGTTTGGCATTAAGATAATATTTAAATCCAGCTTGGCTGCTAAGAGTCAACACTCTAAATTATTTATTGTTGGACTCAAGATTTGAAGCAGAGGAAAAATTAGTAACAACAGTGAATTCAGGGGAACCTTCCTTTGAGTAGACATAGTAATAATATGAGAGGAGAGGTGTCAGCAAGGGTCTCAATTGTATTTGTGTATTTGGATATTAGATTATATCCAAATGGCCAAACTGACAAATAGCAGCAGAGGAGGAAATAATATAAAAAAAATGGAAGTTGGCAATTGGATACCTTGAAAAGAAGACAAAAGTAGATCTGAAGATTGCCATAAAGGGAATTTAGTGAAAGAAGACATGTGGGTAGTTGTGGGTTAGTTATGTGATCCATACTGAATGGTGTCGGAGGTCATGGGGGTTGGGTTCACAGGTGTGGGGTTAGAGGGACAATAAATATTAAAGTATAATAATTGTACAGTCAAAGTTGATTTTTCATATGTTTAACGAACACTGACTGTATACCATTCTGTAAACTTGCATACTCTTTTGTATATCCTTTATTCTGGGGTTTTTTTGGGGGGGGGGTTGTTTTGTTTTTTCCTCTGATGTCGGTTTTGTTTCCTGTGTGCACCATAAATCAATAAAAATGTATTGTGTATTATTGACTTCAAAGAAGGGAAAATCCAGCTTTAGACTGAATTTAGCTTCTCCTTATCGAACCCACAATGGTCTCTATTAAACCCACTTACTGAAACCTTTGTCACTTCAACAATTGACTTTATTTGTCTTATTTGGTTATTGGAGAGTTTGTCATTTCTGGGCTGAAATCACTTTATGTATCTCAGATCGGCCCCCTCCCTTTTAACATTCTGTAAAGAAGTCAAAACCTGGCTTTTTGAGTAAGTGTTCACAAATACAGTGTAACAGGCAAATATAGAACAATGGAACAATTGGATTATGTGATTGGACATTGATTTTAATAAGGAGATGCTTTTGATATATGTTTTATATGTTTTTATTGGTGCTGTATGGTTTTTATATTATATGGTAAATGTTTTTAATTGTATTTTTTGGAATCCAGGCATTGAATTGTTGCCAACTGTAAACCACCTTGAGTCATCTTCAGACTGAAAAAGGCAGTATACAAATATGGTAAATAAATAAATATATTTTGATCCCTGTGTGTACAGTAACATTATACTGAAAAGAACACTCTGAGTTTGAGACATTAGAACAAATCTCCTTGAGCATGCTACCATCAATGTCCAACAATTTTTTACACATGGGTATTCCAAGAATATATGTGAATTTAGCACACTTGGTAACACAACACAGCATCCCTGACCAGTTGTTTGGGTGTATTACTAACACTTGCTTCACATCAACAGACACTAAGGATTCACTGAAGGAAAATATATATTTATTTTTCAATTTCTTATGTAGCAGGCAGCATAAGCTGACCTGAGCTCAGTGACATGTCTCTTTATCCTGTGTGTGAATTCAAACGTTCAAGGCTTATGAGTACTAAGCATCGCTATCAATAATTCCTAGAGGAATGATCCAGATTCATATCTAAGCTCTGAACTTTGGAAAAAACTGTATATGAAAAAGCTGTTACTGAATTTCACACAAAATGCCAACACCTGTACAGAAGGCAAGCAAGCAAACAAGCCAAATTGGCAACCTCGTGCCAAGAACAAGGCTCCTCTTTATGTTACACTCTATTGTTGGCCCCTTGCTGCTCTCCCTGGAGAGATATTGCTGAGACAAATTCTCCAATGGTGTAAAGGGATGCGGTTAGCTTTCGCAGAAGCTGCACTCTAATAAGCAGTCACTTCCAGTTGTTGTTGTGTTTTGATGCACACTCTCCTCAGGTCCCTTCTGGGAAGTGGTTCCTTAAGACACACATACTTTGAGGCCCCTGTGTGGCCAAAATGCAACCACAAGATAAGTAACTGGTTGCAGCCACTTGACCGCCCGGGATGTTTGCACAGTACTAATGAAGAGAGGGAGAGCAGCAGTGTCCACATTTTAAAAAATGCTCATGACCATCTTTCGACCCTGTTCAGCCATTTATTAATGCAGACAGAGCCAAACACAGCAGCAATGTTTGTATCAAATTGCTACATAATTCAAAGCTGCCAGATTTTAAAATGCTCTGGAAAAAAATCTTTGAGGAATGTTGCTAGATATTTCAATTGGAGTGAAAAAAAAAATTGAAATTTAAGACAGTTCTAAAAAAGTCCTAAGTTAGTAAAAATTACCTTTTAGACTACAACTCCTGAAAACCTTCAGTCAGCATAACCACCTATAGTTGATTTTTTAAAATGCAACCATGCTGTTTGTAATAGAGGTATTTATATAGCTTCTTATGTAATGGATGAACACACTACTATCTATATCTCTAGATAACAGGCAAATCTCTCCATAGCTATGTCTTCTGGTGCTAACTTCCCTCAACTCAACTCATGATTTGAAGATCATTTGCTTTTCAGGATTTTTTGTGTGTGAGATTTCATTAAATGAAAACATGACATTTTGTACTATTTGCCAAATTAATTTTTGAAATGAAGTGTAACATTTTATTGTGGAATATGTACTATTATCAATTTTATTTTTGTCCCGCTTTTTCTCTCCATAAGGTGACTCAAAGTGGCTAACATTAAAAACATTACATTTTAAAATATGCAAATATTAAAATAGTACTAAACATCATTAGTACTCCTGACACATTAGCTCCTGACCCAACAAAACATTCATTAGTATTAAAAACAATTCAAATCCATAAAACCATAACAACCCATAAAACCACAGCAAGATACAATATATGGATGCACAGAGATAAAAAAAAATAAAATGTGTAAACATTGCTGTAACATGTCCATAGACTTTTTTTCATTGAGGAAATTTGTGAATTTTCTCTGTAGACTTTGTTTAAAGTTATGTTGATTCCTTTTTCAAATTTTTTAAGTAATGGTCCTGAAAGACAAGGGAGATTTTCATAATTTTTTTCCTGCTGCCACCAGTTATCAAGTTTATCTGATTTGATTACTGTTTCAAAAGGTTACAAAGCTTTTAGCTTTGAAGACTTTCCTTTCCTGGTCTTGTAAGCACTATGTGTTTGGAAGTCCACTGATATCAATATCCCAACTCCTGCCATTGCATGTAGTTGAGCTCTTGTACTTATGTAATTGTGTTGCTGTTATAACTGATTAAGACTCTCTTCTGCACCATTATAGTCTATAAGGAACTGTCAAATAACCCACTAGAAAATTTCCATTAACATTACAATTTCCAGCATGGACCATCTAAGTGTACAAAATATATAGTAAGGTTTGGCCGTTTCGCTGTGTGTTGTGTTCTGCAGAGATGACTCATCTATGTGAAGGGCTGAAAGAAAATACACAGTAAGAAGAGCGGCCTTGGACCAAACCCAAGGGCAATCTAGTGAAGTTTATAATACAACAGTCATTCTGCTGGCTTAATTGTGCCCTCTCGCCTCAACTTAGTTAGCATATAGAATAGATCTACCCATGTTTATTTCTTAAACTGCAAAAGGCAGCATTCACAATTGCAGCCAAGTGCATTCTCACCTCTTTCTGAAGCCCCCAATGCTCCAGAAAACCTTAAAACCTGATGTAGAGGACTGGGAAATTCTCCAAAGCATGTTTTCAGCATAAGAAAGGATGATTTATTATTGGACCCAAATATCCCACAGAAACTATAAGCTTCTCATTGTATTTCAGGTTTTGTAACAGCAAGCATGGTTTGAGTGTTGCATCCTGACTCTGGAGACTAGGGTTCAGTTCCCTGCTTGGCCATGGAAACTGACTTGGTGACTTAAGGTGAATCACACATTCTCAGTCTCAAAAAGGAGCCCCCAGTGGTGCAGTGGGTTAAAGCCCTGTGCTGGCAGGACTGAAGACCGACAGGTCGCAGGTTCAAATCCGGGGAGAGGCAGATGAGCTCCCTCTATCAGCTCCAGCTCCTCATGTGGCGACATGAGAGAAGCCTCCCACAAGGATGATAAAACATCAAAATCATCCGGGCGTCCCCTGGGCAACGTCCTTGCAAACAGCCAATTCTCTCACAACAGGATGCTCCTGACACGACAAAAAAAAAGTCTCAAAAAACCCTGTAATAGATTTACCTTAGGGTCATCATAAGTTAGAAATGACCTGAAGACACACAGCAACAAACCGAGGCACAATTCCGATTTCTATGGATCAAATACGGTAATCATTTTTCTACATTATATATTTTACCTATGTTTTGATGCAGAATACACTACTGTAGTGGTTACTTTCTTATTAAGTAGCAAAACAGTCCTTCCTTTTCTTTAGGAGCTGCATCTTTTCACATAGATGATGTTTAATTTGAGAATGCCCATTTAAATATAATGTAAATATTAATATTTGCAAATATTGCAAAGTAAAATGTACCTCTGATCTGAACTAGGGGCTGGTGGTGGAGAATATGAGAAGTTTATTTATGCTATCTTTGATTTATATCAGTCTGAAAAAAATGGCATATTAAAAGAACACCCATTAAAAGAAGCCAAAAAATCCAGCTCTTGTCAGCATCTGATGTTTGTCCTACTGGACATATTTAACACATCAGTTTAGATTGTTGTTTTTACAAAGTTTGAACAGCATTGGTTTGGAATGGATCAAACACAAACAACCCACAAGGCAGATGCTTTGTTTGTCTGGCACAAGAAGAGATGCTGAACTAAGAAGGAAAGAAAATGGAAAAGAAAGAAAAAAGAAATAGACTGTCTGGAGATGAAACTCTGGCAACATGGATTCCTCATAAAGCAAACTATTTGACTCAACTTTCAGTGAGTGGATGTGCAAGCTTTTTCTCTCAATTTATACCATACCCTTTATGAGAACACTGAATACTTTGCCAAACTTTCCTAAGTAAAATTTGTATGATTGCTTAGACTTAAATAGAGTGAGTATCCTGTGGGATGTAGTAGCTGTTAGTAATTTCCATACTGTGGGAATGGTATAGGAAAACGATCACTGGTACAATGACAGAAGATGGCTTTATTGTCATTGGTATGGTGAATCCACTCCAACCTTTAGCCTAGACTTTAAGGGAACTATCCAAGGCTTTGAAGATAGGAGTCAGTACCTTGGACTAAATCAGGACTAAAACTTGGAATGTATCCACTAGTCCTGTGCATAGTATTTGTTTCCTCCATTTCATTCATTGTTTCATTCTTTTTCTTTCATTCAGTGGGCATGAAATTGTAACCTTCCCCCTACAATACGAAAATAAACCCGAAAAAGAAAGAAAGTGTGAATGGTTATCACATATTCGCCTTATTTTCAGGCCACGAGATGCTCCTCAAACTGCCCGCTGAGTGTTGCCGCATGCTAGTATTTACCTTTGAGCCCTGCCTGTTGGGGGAAGAGGAAGATAAGAATGCCATCCATCTCATCTGCTGTCTGCCTGCCTCGCCCACCACCACTCTGCAGACAGAGAGGGAAGCATTAAAGAAATACTGGTATCTTAAGCCCTGTCTTTAAACTCAGTTCTCTTCTGTAGATGGATTGAGGAACATCTCAGAATGTGTGCTATCTTAAGCCCCCCCCTCCCCCAATTGCTGCCAGTTAAAGAAGACCTGAAATAGTGGGGCTGGAGTGCGCACTGGGCTCTGTGTGTGTGATATGTGGAGCATCTTGGGGGGGGGGGGTGTTGCAAATGAAACAACCAAAATGAATAACAATTCCATACAAATGCACAAGACTAGTATCCACCACCCAAATGACATGAGAAACACCAGCTATCATTACACTATGACATCATTTACCAAGAAATATCCCTGATAGCAGGGCTCCCAACTGCATGAAGACTTCTGCTTGAGTCCTCTTGAATGCAGGCAGAAGCTCCCCCTAAACTTATCCAATGTGTTAGGGAAACATGGCATAAGGTTTATTTATGGATTCTTGCTCTCACCACCATTTTCATCCACACGTGAGCAAGTGAAATGCCACCAAAGGGCTGGTTACTTGCCCAAGTCTGTCTTACCTGCCTACCTAAATTCAAGGAGGCAGTGAAAAGAAAAAAGAGCATGAATAAAGAATGGAAAGAAGAACAAGTCACCAAGAAAAGCATTTAATAATACTCTTGATACTTTGATTAGCAAACTGATTACATATGGAAAAGTGGAAACACCATTAGATGGACCAATTGGTTGAAAAAGTGCTTAAAGAGTTATGACCAGGAGCTGTGCTTTATATTGGAAAGAGGTATCTAGTGGAGTGCCACTACACTTCAGTATTTTTATCAATGATTTGGATGATAGCATCTGATGAATCCCTATCAAATTTACAGATTATACAAAACTAGGAGGGGTGGCTAACAGATTGGAAGGTAGGGACAGAATTCAAAATGATCTTGATAGACTAGAAATCTGGGCTGACATTTTAAAATTGGATTCAGTAAAGGAAAATGCAAAAGTTTATATTTAGGCAAAACAGATATGGAAAGAGGAAAATGGTTCAGTAGTACTATGTGTGAGAGAACCTTAGGATTACTGTTGACCATACATTGAACATGAACCAGCAGTTTGATGCTGCAGCAAAGAAGGAATATGCTATCATAGCCAGGATTAACAGACACATAGTTTCCAAAATCAAGGGAAATAATTGTCCCACTATATTCTGTACTGGTCTGCAGTACTGCATTCAGTTCTGGATGCCTAATTTAAGCAGAATATAGAAGTTGTACTAACGTCAGAGAAAGGCAATGAGAATGATAAGAGGTATGGAAAATAAAACATGCAAGAAGTTGAAGGAGCTGGACATGTTCAGCTTGATGAACACTCTGGGTGTCTGATTACATGCTTTAAATACCCCAAGAGCTGCCATAAAGAAGAGGGTTATAGCTTCTCCTCTGCTGCCTGAGAGGGCAAAACAAGGTCTAATGGTTTTAGAAGGATTGATTTCAGTTGAATAATTGAAGACATTTCTTGAAAGTGAGAGCTGTTTGACAACAAAAGCAATTGACTAGGGGATTGATGGGGGATCTCTGCCTCTGGACAAATTCAAGAAACTGGACAGCTGCTTGCTAGGAAAGTTTTAGGTGTCAATCCTGCATGGAGCAGCAGGTTGGATCTGAAGGTCTATAGGACTTCTCCAGGATGATTCTATAATTCTGTGGTCATTCTGTCCTCTAAAATTAGGTAATAACAGATGTGTAGAGCCATTTTCCAATAATTTTGCATCCATCCTGAAACTGAAATATAAAAAACAAAGTATACACATGCATGAATGTGTAAACATACACACATTTTCTGTGAGCTGGAAAAATCACTTTGGATATTATCTCCTTAGATAGCCAAAGAAGACATGCTGTGATTTTGGGAAATGTTCATGGAATGATACAGTCCTACATACACTTATACGGGAGCAATTTCCATTGAATTTACAATGCTTCTTAGAAAAATAAAGTCCTACTGAAATCATATGTGCTCTTTTCTGAGATAATCTTCAATGGAAACAGTGGGAATTAGGAATGCATTGTGAGACCTCAATCCAGATATCTTGTAAACAATCCACACCAAAGCATGCACACATTTTGAAAGGAAAGAAAAAGAGCCATGCAAACTAATGTAGAATTGGATGAGATGAGAATGCTGATAGGATTGTCAGAAATGTAACTAAACCAAAAAGGACACATGTTCACATCCTTTTCCAGCCTTTGACAGTACAGACCATTTGTGTACATGGAAGTAACCCAAGTGGACATCATGCATAAAATCTTGTTTTTCCTTGTTGATCAACCTTGCTAAATTAGGGCATAAGATTTTGATCTCAGACACACTTGGAATTTGTTTCTACTGAAAGAAATTAGGGATATCTACAAAAGACTCGTCCATCACTTTATAGGTCAAAGAAAATATGGCAAAATAAAGTGGAAGAATATATAACCAGTTAGCAAGATATCCATAAAATTATAGAATCTGAATCATGATTTTTTACTGCAAAAGCAGTAATATACAGGGATCTTCCTTTTAATTGGAAAAAATTGAAGTAAATTCCAAACCTTATTAATGTTGGATAAGAAAAAGAGAGGGGAAAACATATAGATTCAATGTCTTGATTTTTATTGGCAAAGTGCCCTTTTGCATTCTTAAAGATTTGCTCTTGTTCCCTATGGGTTTGATGCTTGAAGTAAGTAGGAAAAATATTTTATTTTATTTTTAGTTCCCTTCCTGAATGTTGAACATGTACTTCAAAAGAAGCCTGAGAAGTACAGGGATCCCGATAAAGTCAAATGCTAAAGGTAGATTTCTAATCTCCTATTTACATGATATATAAATGCAGCCATCCTCTGGTCTTTTAAAATGGGGTGTTTACACAGTGAGCCCAGAATTAAACACCAACAGATTTGTTCAGTAAAACAACCTAGGAATTTAACAGAACCATTTCTGAACAGGAAAAATAAACTTCGGTGTAATTTTGTTATTGTAATTCTTGTGTGCTTCCATGGAGTTTTATTTTTTGTTCTTGTATGAACTAAGGTTAGGCTCCATTACTTCTATAGTAAAAAAGAAGATGAAGTTAAAAGTTGAATAAAGGGGCCAGCTCACAAAATGTTGCTGCCTGAGCAGAATAGCAAATCTAAATTAATTAGCTAGAGCCAATGACTTGGTGGGTGGGGTGGATGTAAATGGCAGATATCCAAAGCCCTTTAGTCTGGAAGAGGACCCAAGACCTAAGTACAGTATAAACTCTGTACCTGTGAGACCACAACTGCTGGTTTCACCTACCCACATTCAATACAATATGTTATCTCAAGGAAATTTTGATGGCAACTATCTGCAGAAGTCATTCATTTCAAAAGGCTTCAGTATTATCTGATTTCCAGTTTCCATGATAATTTCAGTGGATGCGAGTGTCATACTCTATTTTGCATCTGTTTCTCTCTCTCTTGGAATAGTATGTTATTTTTTGTTAGATTTTCAAGTTGGAAAACGCAGTTAATAAAAATGGATAAGCATGTGTATTTGAATTTCTAGCTTTTTAACATCCACCAAATTTTGGAAAGGAGAGTGGGGAAAAGGGAGAAAAATAGGACCTTTCACCATGGTTGTGACAGCTTGAAACAGAGAGCCAGAGGTGATCAGACCATTGGAGCCTCAACCGTGAAGAGAGCAGCGGAGGAGGACCTTCATTAACTCCTCTGCCTCTTGACACCAGTTTCCAAACATCTCCTGGTTTGTCTGCCAAGAAACAAGTAATGCAGGACAGACACTCTCTGGGAGCTGTTAAAGGATCAAGTTGGGCAGATGGGTGGGGCAGAGGATTCTGGTATGGATGCAAATGCCTGTGTATTCCTCCCTCCCCACAAAATCTCAAAGGACCATGAGGAAATGAGTAAACTTATCATGTCCCCCATTGATTTCCAAACTCATTCTGGGCTGCCCTGCATGGTGGTGATGGCCAACAGGGAGCTTTGGCATAGGCTGCTCCATGAGGTCACAAAGAGTCGGAAGCGATGGAATGAATAAACAACAAAGCATGGGGAAGCAGGAGTAGCCCATGCTGTTTTAATTTTCAGATAGGAACCAAATATTTGATCCTCACATCAAGTTGTGAATAGCTTCTGCCACATGTATCTCCTGACACTGATGGGACCCAAACCTTAGCCAGCTGCCTATTCAACATTCCTAGCACGCTGCATACACTAATAAAATCAGTTAACTCAGAAGGGAGACCAAGGCTGGAATCCTGTTCATTAATTTTAACTAGAGACTTTGAGTTCCTTCTCAACCCATTTCATATGCTCTGGCTTTTTACTGGTGTAAGACAACAGCCATGTATACAGTATGCATGAAGAACCAAAGGCACTCTCACACACTGCCAGAGAAGGGTAACAGCCAAGACCCTGTCAGATATCATTTCTACATAGAGATATTGACTTTATCAACACATAGGATAGCTTTGGAGAGCTTTCTATAGCAGCGCTTTGCAAGACCATCATGAGGTCTCTAGTATTAACTTCAGTGGTTCCTGTTTCCCTGGTGCCCTGCCGCTGAGATGCCTCCCTTATAGTAGGACTAGCCATTTGAGGCAGACAGCACAATTTATTGCTAGTATAAATTGGACTATCTCAGCAACAACCCTTACACACTAATAGGGGATCTTGTTTTCTTTAATTTTCCATATCTGTGATTAAAGAAGTAAATAGATTCCATTGTTTCATTTGATATTCGTACATGTGTCTTTCCCCAAAGTTCTTCATCATTAATATCCATTACAGTTTTGTATCTTACTTGTATCAATTGTGCGACTTCTTATCTGTTGCATAATGAAAACCAAATTTTCATTGTTGTAGGATGATGAATGCACTTACCATTATCAGTCACAGATGCTTAGTTCAGAAGGAATACTTCTAGAGAAAAGAGAATACTGGGAACATGCTCTCTTACATGAGAGGGTTGAATAACATTATTGGTGAGATAATTGGGTGAGTCACTCCAAAGTAATCAAAACTTAAATGATGACATGTTTTGTATTCCAAAATGAGAATATATCATTAGTCTTTTGTAAAGTTTACATTATAGTCTAAAATCTATGATTTACTGATCAGTCTAATAAGGAAAAAATATAACAACATTCATTTGGGATATTCTGCCAGAATGTTTGAATGATCAAACAATTTTCAGATAGAAGAAAAATTGGAACACAGAGATAATGTTCATGTTATTATTAACAAAGACTTTTGTTTATTTGATTAAAAGCTGGAGGATTTTTCAGTTGTGCTGAGGTTTTATGGTGTTGGAGATTTGCTTTAATAATGAGCAAGTGTTAGACAGAAACAGAAATGTTCCATATTTCCAAAATGCTCAGGAATCCAAACATTTGGCAAAAGGACTTGTTGAAACATATTGATTGTGTTACTATCCAATTGTGTTTATATTATGTAAACTTCCAGAAGCCCTGCCTCCAAATTGTGACAGTTTTGATGATTGCTCACAATACTTTGTGTCATCTTTTTGTGTCAATATTGTTTGTTTGATTACATAGACTGAACTGTATCATTCAGTTCTAATTCTTCTACATCTCCAGTTAAGGATACTAAATAACCAATGTTGTAGAGGGCTCTGTGTGTGTGTGTGTGTGTGTGTGTGTAAGTTTTCTTTAATAGCGAGCACATCACTGTTAGCTACAACTTAGCAGTAGCAGGTAGACAGTTATACATTTCCAAATACCAGAACAATGTAGTTAAAGTTTTTTTGTAAATATTGACATTAGAAGCTGGTTATAACATTACCAAGGCTTGCTCAGGACTGCTGTGCAAAAGTTCAGTGACATATGGAACTGATCTAGAGGAAGGAAAAAAGAATCGAAATTACAGCTAAAGAATTAATTTCCTTGCTATGCCATACCAATGTCCTTGTAAAAATCATCCATTTGAGACCAGAGTTTAAACTCTAGGTGAGATGTCATCATGGATAGCATACAGTTATGATCTCCAGTTTTCTTTCTTTATTAATGACTTTAAATTTCCACAAGTGGACATGAGAACCAGCCTTTCCCACAGGGCAGTAGTTGTCTTTGCATCTGATCTGACCGAAGTTGTCTTCTCACTGCATTGAAAACAAGCAACTTTCTTTGCACATCTAGTCCATAGTAACAAAAGGCAACATCCCCCCCCCCTTTTTAGATGCCATTCAAACTTTGTGCATTGTAACAACTTCATTTCTCTGGATTAATCTAAATTATAAAAAAATATAAGTAAAATCCAAATTTGACTTGGCAACCTGGATATGTTGCTAATGTGATTTTTGTTTCTCTTTCCTCTGCAAAGAGCCTATCTATTCTCCTCCTACACACTGCATGGTTTTCCGTACTGATGGAAAAGTCAAATCTGAAAACCCAGGGAATATTAGATTGAAGCTAGGGAGTGTGGCACAACATCCATGATTGACTGAATATTTGGTTTCAGTCTTATTGTGGAACTCAGTTCTGAAATTGTCCACAGCTTAGCTAATTTTTTGTGATGAGCATGTCACTAAGCATGCCCAGAGTATATTTATTTATTTACAACATTTCTATCCCACTCTTCTCAACCCCCAAGGGGACTCAGAGCGGCTAACAATGGCAACAATTTGATGCCGCAAATATTACATTAAAACAGCAAGATAAAATAATACAATACAATAGATTTAAAACAACATTAATTATACAATCATAAAGCCATTGTTATTATAACAATCATATGGTCCAGTTCAGTGTTCAAAGTGCCATTGTGCCTGCTAGTCAAAAGCCTGGTTCCAAAACCATGTTTTCAGTTTTTTCCTGAAAGAAAGGAGGGGGGACGCTGATCTAATTTCGCTAGGGAGCGAATTCCACAGGCGGGAGGTCATAACCAAGAAAGCCCTGTCCCTCGTCCCCACCAGTCTCACTTGTGATAAAGGTGGGGCCGAGAGCAGGGCCTCCCCGGAAGATCTTAAATTCCGAGGTGGGATGTAGAAGGAGATACGTTCGGACAGTTGAAGTCCAAAACACCTGGAGGGCCCGAGTTTGATCATCTGGATTATATGGCAGTGTAGAAGGGGTCTCAGTTTAGTCATCTTGGATTCTAGGGACAGTTCAAGCTTTATTTGCTCTAGGACGGTCATGGGCGAACTTGGGTCCTCCAAGTGTTTTGGACTTCCCACCAGATGCATTTGCGAAGCTGGTGAGACTGAGAGCAGGGCCTCCCTGGTGGATCTTAGACTATGAGGTGGAATGTAGAGGGAGATACGTTTGGACAAGTAAGCTGAGCCGGAGTTGTATATAGTTAGCTCTCCACATTTGCTGGGGTTAGAGGCATAAAACCTTCACAAAAGTGGGGAAACTGCACATTACTTGAGAGAACTTATCTATGGAAATCTCTTAGTCCTCTAGCATGACTCTATGGCCAATTTCCACTGGAAGCTGATGACAGAATTGTACTGGAGGACCTAGAGATAGATCTTCCAGTGCAGTTACAAACATTTTAATCAAATCAATGAATAATCAAACCCACAAAAATCAAACATGCAAATATTGAGAGCAGCCTTTACTTATAATAGGCATAGGCAAACTTGGGCCCTCCAGGTGTTTTGAACTTCAAGTCCCACAATTCCTAACAGCCTACTGGCTGTTAAGAATTGTTGAACTTGGAGTCCAAAACATCTGGAGGGCCCAAGTTCGCCCATGACTGCCCTAGAGCAAATAAAGCTTGAACTGTCCCTAGAATCCAAGATGACTAAACTGAGACCCCTTCTACACTGCCATATAATCCAGATGATCAAACTCGGGCCCTCCAGGTGTTTTGGACTTCAACTCCCACAATTCCTAACAGCCTACTGGCTGTTAGGAATTGTGGGACTTGGAGTCCAAAACTTCTGAAGGGCCCAAGTTTGCCCATGTCTGCTCTATAAGATATTCACCATCCTTTCCTAACAATTAAGTAGAATGTTTCTAAAGCTTGAAGCTTCCAACAAGTCTTAACACATCTCAACAGTAGATTCATAGAGTGCACAGGAAACTTATCTGGGTCAGTGTCTCAGCAGCTGAAATCTTCTAAAGACATGGCTGCTTGTTCAGCCCCCAAGAAATGGTCCACATTTTTTCTCATTGTTACTGTCAAAGCCTGGTTGAGTAGCAACTATTTGTTTTGTAAATTGTGCAAATATTTGACACTTCACAACCATCAATGATAACTTTCTTTTCTTTTTTCTTAGCTGGAGGGCTTGTTGGCATTGGCAGACTTTTTTAAATCATTGGGACAGCAGACAAAGCTTTTAAGGGCCTCCTGGAAAAGTGGAGCTTGTTGGTACCAGATGCATGCTTAAATCTGTAGCTGGCAGCTAAAAAAATTCCTGGATCTCTACATGTTCTGGATCTATTACAGTTGATCATTGTTTCTTGTATTTATATAGAGGTATTCCACAGTAACTAGAAGCAGAATAAATTCAGCAGACATGCAGAATGTCCAACAGAATGAGTTACCACTTTAATTACAACCACCTCTCAAACAGAGGCCACAAAGAAGAAATACGCTCCAAGCAATTTAAAAATTAACAAGTTAGCAGGCTCATCAATATAAGGAAAGCAGTAATAGGGAAGGTACATTCAGAAGGCATAAAAGGATGTCCGATTCACTTCTCAGGAGAATGCTAGATTCCTAATCTTGTGCATGAAATTGTTTTTTTCCAGATTTAGTAATACTGTAACATCATTTGCTTATTTGTTCTACATATTTATATGCCATGCAATAACTAGGAACAACTTTATAAAAAGGAAAAAAAAGGAAGACGATCAAAATCATTTTATATTTTAGATATCAGGAAATTAATACGTCATAAAAATATAACTGCCATACAGGATATATCTTGCAAAAGAGGTGACTAAGGGGAAGTATAATTATAAAGGCTAAGCATCTCTTATGTAAAATGCCAGAAATCAGTGGATTTTAGACAACCTGAAAATTTGTACATAATGAGTTATATTAGAGATGGGACCCATATCTAAGCACAAAATTAATTTGGCTTTATGTGCACCTTATACACAATATTTTAATAATCCTATACATGAAACAAAGGTTGTGTACCTCAAATCCTCAGAAAGCAAATTCTATATTTTGGGGTATTTTAGAATTCTTGATAAGGGATTGTAAATCTTTTAAAGGCAATACACAGATTGCACATGTAATTCTTAAACATGGCTAACAACAAATATTTTGATAGGAGAAAGTGTATTTAAGAAGCTCTGGAGAAAATGTCCCAAATAACTACATACTCTTCATTCATGTAGGCACCCCCAGTGGTACAGTGGGTTAAACTGCTGAGCTGCTAAACTTGCTGACCTAAAGGTTGGTGGTTTGAATCTGGGGAGCAGGGTGAGCTCCTCCTGTTAGCCCCAGCTTCTGTCAACCTAGCAGTTCGAAAACATGCAAATGTGAGTAGATCGATAGGTACTACACCAGCAGGGAGGTAACAGCACTCCATGTAGTCATGCAGGCCACATGACCTTGGATGCGTCTACGGACAGCACCAGCTTTTTGGCTTAGAAATGGAGATGAGCACCAACCCCCAAAGTCAGACATGAGTAGACTTAATGTCAAGGGGAAACCTTTAACTTCATTCATGTACAGCCAAAGTTTTTACTAATTTACTAATACAGCCCGTTTTGTGTTGGGTGATTAGACTGAAACATGTTTTTTCCACCATTTCTGTTGTGCTGAGACTTTAGATTACAAACTTTTGGAAAGCAGCGGTGTTTCCAAGTCCACAAAAAAAAAATCCTAAATGGAAATTCTATGATGTTCAGACAACACTGGGTGACTGTAACAGCAATCACTTTTGACAGTTGTTATGACAACCTACCACTGGCAATCCTTCCATCCTTCATGCCATTGCTTAACAATAGTTTGCTCAATTTTCCAAGGCAGCTCTCAGTTTGTGAAAAGTATTGTTATTTTTTGCTAGGGGCTATAGTAGCTGTCAAAATTGACAAGTCACTTGGGCCTTTTGGCCACACTGCCATAGTAATCGCAACTCCCATTTGAACTTTTAGTGCATACAAAGGTTCACTTTTTATTTTCTTTTATTTATCCACAGTACTTTCTGATCCTCAATAACACTGGCTAACACACACTTTGGTGCCTCGAATGTTAAACCTTGTTTCTGGTTATTTCTGACCTGCTGATTCCAAAAATGGCCCCATTTTTTCCTATCAGCACTATTTTTTTGATATACAGAACATATGCCATATACTAGTGGTTCTCAACCTGGGGTCCCCAGAAGTTTTTGGCCTACAACTCCCAGAAATCCTAGCTAGTTTACCAGCTGTTAGGATTTCTGGGAGTTGTAGGCCAGAAACATCTTGGGAACCCAGGTTGAGAACCACTGCCATATACTATTCTTCACTCTGCTCACCAATTTTTAAAAAATCAGCATATTTTCTAGGAATTTAATACTCATGTCACAGCCATGTCTGTTGAAATGAAAGCACATATCTACTCATTGTGTATAGCTGTCTGCCTTCTTCTTGCCAATAAAGTTTTTCACAACAAGAATAAATGAAGACCAAGCACATGACTCAGTTTCATTCATTGATGTTCTGAAACATGGGTAATTCATAACTTGCCTGACCTATGGACCATTGAAAATTCCTGCCTTCAGTTTTTCCATGGTAAACCCAGGTAACTTATGTGCTATGCTACATCAGGCCTAGCTTTATATGTAGTGTTAGCAGTATGATTCCATCTACCAAAGGTTCATGGGTTACCATATCTGAGAAAATAGAGCTGATGCAGTCTATCCAATGCAATTTTCTGAAACAGTGCTCCAAA